ACACATTTGTTCAAACACACCAGCGCAGAGCACATCGCTCTGTGGTACGAACTGAGAGTGTGTGAACTATTTTTATGTTTCACACCGAGCTGCAGCAACGTCAGTCACACAGGCACTGGCCTTTTCTCAGGCCTTGGCTGTAATTTGGAGTTTAGACCCAACAAAAGTCTTCATAACTGAAAGCAGTGTGATGACATTTACGTCATGCATCCCACTCACTGCAGGCTGTTAAAAAAGTATGCAGCTCTGAAAGGTCATGCATTCACTAATCAGTCTAGAACTGGCCTTCAACATGACTTGGGTTTACAGCGAATCTGCAGTTATGAACCCCAAACAAATCCCAATTTGGAAAGGAGTTGTCTTTAAAATAATAGTTTGACATTTTGGAAAAGATGCTTATTTGCTTTGTTGCCAAGAGTCCGATGAGAAGATTGACATTACTCTCCTGTCTGTCTGCTAAATATGAAGCTACAGCCAGGAGACGCGTAGCTTTGTTTAGCTTAGCTTAGCTTAGCACAAACACTGGAAACAGAGGGAAACAGCCAGCATGGCTCTATCCAAGAGTGATAAAATACATCTACCAGCACCTCTGAAGCTCACTGATAAACATCTAACAACTTGTTTGTTTAATCCAAGCAAAAACCAAAGTGTGAAAATGACCAGTTGTGGTTTTAATGGGAGTTAATGCTGCATTCGTCTAATGTTGATGAGAAGAACAGAAAAACCTTCTGTTCCATTTTGCCACAATAGTTGACATTCCAGTTGTGGCTCAGGAGGCAGAGCAGGACGTCCATTAATCAGAATAGTGAAATTGCCATTTATTTATCATCAGTGTGTGAGTGTGTGTGTAATAGAAAATTGTTGAATGTATAGAATTAGCACTGTCTGAATGTATGAGTGAATGGGTGAATGAGGCGTGTAGTGTAAAGAGATTTGAGTGGTCAACAAGACTAGAAAAGCGCTATATAAGTGCAGTCCATTTACCATTTACCATAACTGTGGTTCTCACCAAACAGGAGATGTGGGTGCTGTCAGACATTCCCACTATCTCTTTGGATAGAGGAAGGCTAGCTGTTCCCCCTGTTTCCAGTCATTACGCTGAGCTAAGCTAACTGGCTGATGACTGTAGTTTAATATTTCTTGTACAGACATGAAAGTGTTATTGATCTTCTCATTTTTACTCTTGGCAAAGTGAGAGACACTACGCATTTTAAGTTTCAAGTTAGTTATGCAAACCAAATTAAGCTGATTTAAACCCCTATCGGCTTTAGGAACAGAGAGAAAACAAACCCTAATTTGTGTATCAGACAGATATTTTAGGTGTCATTACCTAACGTTGGATTTCTTATATAAGGTGTTAAAAAAAAACCCCGTCATCTATTCCTTTCCCTAGAGGGTACAGCATCCCCAGACGTGCCAGACCTGTGGGGGCTTTGCCTTCATCCCATGCCCAACGTGCCATGGCAGCAAGATGTCCGTGTTTCGCAACTGCTTCACGGATTCCTTCAAAGCCCTAAAGTGCACTTCCTGCAACGAGAACGGCCTGCAGGCCTGTGTGAGCTGCAGCCAGTGAGGATGTAATGTGCCTGACCCAACATCCTTATTCCCTCCTCAAGGACCTTACACAGGAACCTGAACTGGACTGCAACACAGGCAGTGAAATGAAACACAGCAGAACTCTTCTTCCATGGCCATTGTTAGTTAAAAAAAAAAAGAAAAAAGAAAGAATTTGTAATAAATAAAATCTGTGAATTTGTGGATTTGGCAGTGATGCTATCAATGTATTGAATCTTAGTTTAATTCATAGATTGAATATTAATTATTTATGATCAAAAATCAAATCAGGTTTCTCTTATTAGGATTATTGCAAAGGTTTCTGTCTGCAGACACGTCTGTACACTGAGGAGTCAGGAACTAGTTACACCTGTGGTAAACTTAAGCTTGTTAGCTAATTAGTGAGGTGGCTCCTTCATTGACAATGCTCTCATCACTAATCCCATATCAGGCAGAGTTGAGGATAACTTACACTCAGGACAGAGAGGGAAAGTCAAGGGCTCAATTTGCAGCCAGTAAAAGGCCTGAAACTGGACCTTTGTTCTCTGTGGAGCAACAAACCTCATTCAACCCTTACAGGAAGATTTAACATTTATAGGGAGGTATTATATGCACACAGGTAAATTCACATAAATCAAGGGAAACAAATTAATTTCAAATGTTTTAATAGTTAATTATACATTTCTGGTCTCTCAATATATAGGAACATACAATCATATTCAGTGGCCCACTCAGCCCCAGTTTGTGGTGCTCATGAACATTCAAGTCACAGAGCTACACACTGATGATCTGAAAAATAATCCCTCTGTGAAGGAGAGCAGCGGTAAGCGTTCACACCAAACTGTCAGAAATAGCCAGGTATTTATTTTTGGGGATGCGTAACTCTGTGACTCAAATGTAATGCTCATTCATGAGATGCACAAACTGAGGCTGATCCAGAAGTAGCACAGTGCAGTGTAACTAATTGGTTCAATAATGTATTGGCTGCTAAAGGATGTAGGTTTGCATTGAATAATTCAACCCAAGGAGAACTTAGTCTGTTCCGTTTTTTTTCCTTTCACCATAAAAAACAGAAAATTTCAATGTCTGACTGCATCAGCATGAGAATTAATAGAGGAGTCACTCTATTGCCAACAATTCGTGCAGGTCACATGCAGTTTAAACGGATGATGTCATTTGCTGGCAGCTATCCAGGGGGTCAGGGAAACGCAGCGGCCGAGCAGCTCAGCTCTCTACGCTGTCATAGCCCTGTACAATGCTGCTTGAACATGATAAGACAAGGCAGCACTGTAAAGAGGCTAAAAGCGTAGAGCAGGGTGGAAGTGGTGGTGGTGATGATGGTGGTGGTGCTCATCCGCCATGTAGACTTTTGTCTTGCCAGCACTTTACCTGGATTGTTCTAGATGCTCCTGTACCTGTGACTGAAACAGCAATCACATCGATCATTAAGAAAAAGTAGGAAACATACGCACACACGCTCGCGCGCGCACACACACACACACACATACACAGACACGGTGCGTAAAGCATAATAAAGGTTAATGAGTTTAGGTTTTCTGCATGGGTAATGGGAGGTGATTACACTGCTGCACTAAAACTCGTTTCTTTAATTCAATTCCGCACCGAAGAATAATGGGGACTCGGGAATTGATAACCACAGACTTGTGGTGATGGAGGGGGGTTGGGGTTGCATGAAAATCTGAGACTCCAACTGTGCAGGTTGACTGCGCCCCCATCTGTAGGCTGCTGGAGATGAAAATATTGGAGAGGGAAAAACAGGATGCATCGAAAAATATCACAAAATCAGTCACATTTTTCAAAGTAGCTCACATTATCTACCAGGTAATGAGAGTGAAAACAGCGATGTGATGTGCAGAAGGCTGCGGAAGGACTGGAGATGTGTTTGGTTTATCTCCAGACGTGACAGGCGCGTCTCGACGCATGTTTCTTTTATAACGAGCCAAATGAGCCAGAGGATCTGGTTGTGTTTTTTTTTTTTAATGAACGTGCACAAGCGACCCTTTCTTTCTCTAAGGAGGCATGAAAGGAAACGAGATGGGCAGTGGCACTGGCACAACTGACTTGGGAATGGTATGACGAGACATGACACTGATATGCGCGCAACACCCATGATGTGAAGACAACATTCAATGGTCAAAAACCTGCAATGGAGTTTGTCCGCATTGTCTCCGCTCTCCGGGCTCGGCGAAAAATTATTTCAGTCGAGTAGTCTAGCGTGGTCCGGCCGCGATGCTGTGCGTAATGTTTTGAATGGTCGGTCAATGCGCAGACTGGTTGGAAATGACTGTTTTTATTGACGTCAGCGTACAGGCTAGTGCCCCCCCACCCCCACCCCCCTCTCTCATCCCTACAACTGCACCATCTAATGGACTTGGGTTTACATTCCAGTCAACCAGCTGAGCTTTAAACAGGAAACAGGCCTCCCATCCCAAACATCGAGGCGTGAAAATGTCCCTCTTTACTGCTCCAGATGTGGGCAACTGCAGAAAGATCTTTAGTGGAGGGTCAGTCATTCTTCCTTTAGTGCAACAGCCCAGACAAGAAGCTTGGAGCTCCTACTAGACCCCAAACATCTGGAGTAGATGAGACCAGGCAATGATGCCTTCCATAACATAATCACATAATATACATAACGGCATGTCGTCATATGGCAAAATGTAAAAAAAAAAAGAAAGAAAGAAAGAAATCCACGTGCATGACAGAAAAGGAAAGCAAAATATTTTAATAAATTATTTCAAATTTATTCCAACTCCTTCAGCAGTGGCAACATCGTTATAACCAAAGGTAAATATTACATTATTAACACCTTCAAAAATATATATCCACCCTCCCAATAATGATGAAATGACTCCAGCCCACCTCCTGTTCAGCAGACAGGTGTGTCTCGTGCAGCTGGGACTGTGTGCTGACCGTAGATTCAGAATGAAAACAAAAGCACAATCAGTATATACTGTGTTTTAAAACAGATCTTTCAGCAGAAACACTACAGAGCAGATTATTTACTTTGGTATTTTGGTACACGTACTGTACAGGGTGACATCCTGAATGATTAAAACAAAGCCATTTTAATATTGACACGTGATTAAAACCTGTTTGTTTGGTACCTTTTTTCTCATCATCGGCCGCTTATTTACACTGAGTGGATCTGAGCGTGTCCTCCAGTACTTTGGAACAATCATCTGCTGATCAGCTGCCAAACTCACGAGACAAAATTAACTACACCTCAAATTTGGAAAGCATCAAAGTTTGGAGTGTGGAGCCAGCAAAGAGAGAAGGCAAGTGACAAGAGAAAAGATGCCACTGACTATAACATCATTTCATGGTGTGGAAGGATGTTTACACTTCTCATTTCACCTTCTGCAAAGATAAACATGTCCAATAAATGGTTATTTAATAGATTTGTTAGTTAGACTTGTCAACTTGTCTTTGTAATATCACAGGAATATGACAACCTGTTTTCTAATAGGTTTTTCTTTTTTTTTTTTTGCATAAGCTGATGCTCCTTAAGTGCTACTGTATTAAACATCAGTTCACTCCTCAGCTCTATCATACAAATCAAATAAGTCTTAACAACACCTTTTACTTTGCATTTTTTTTTCTGTAATCGCAATAAAATCTATTCATCACAAATTCTCTTTATTAGAGAAGCTGCAGCAGCATCGTGCCATCTTAAGCTCCTCACTTTTTACATTAAAAGAAAAAAAAATCTATTATTGTCTAGCAATTAAATAAGTCTAGTTTGAATATGTAGCTCTCAGGTTTCCTTTGTACTAATGAAGGCAACACTATCACTGTGGTTCAAGCATAACATTAAAGTAAAGTACAAGTATAGTTAGTGATACTGGTCCTTTTGTGTGATCTTGTTTTTTGAAGCAGACATGTTTTCAACCAAATCCAGACACATTCATGGAGGAATGTGAGTTCAAGCAAACAACCAGAGGACTAAACTGTTGTATCTGTGTGAACTGCAACACAGATTTTAATTTCTCTTCAAATTCAAGGAGACTACTGAGAGTCTTTAGTCTTTAGCCAGAAACACTCACACTTGAATGTGTGTGAGTGGATCTCTGGCAGGTTGAACTCTTGTTTATCGCTACATGAAGTTTAAGCAACACAAAGACAAGCCGATCATTGCTCAGACATTGTCCTTGTGTGAGATTCTGGACTATTCTACAGTAAGACTTGATGACTTTGCGCAGAGACGGATCCTTGTTTTGAAGAGGTCAGGATGGGAGGCAGATTGTGGAGGTGGACTCAGTCCTCCTCTCACCTTTTCTTCTTGATGCAGCAGGATGTGCCCTCAGCAGAGACCAGGAAGTATTATAGTATCTCCAAGTCCACGTGACGAACCTCTGGGTTACGTTGCTATGGAGGAAAGAAACAGAGCTACATACGAATCTGTCTGGCAATGCTTACAAAATGTCTTTGATATGCAGATAAATTCCAGCAAATATCAAACCTGAAATAGTAAAAAAAAAAAAAAAGAGTTTCTAGATATATTGTAGCATCAGACAGACAACAATTTGGACGAGTTTAATGTTTCAGTACCTTGAGTTCTTTCTCCAAACGGTCCACCTCAGCTCCCAGGGTGTCAATGATGTTCTCCCCGTGTTTCAGCATGAAGTTCTCCAGCTCCTCGGGGGTCTTCACCTGCTGAATGTCCTGCAGAGACAGAAAAGCACACACTTAACTGTTGCTAAAGATACAGGTAAACCTCCTGGATGCCAGAAACACACAAAGAAATAAATCCTAACAAAAGAGCTTTTGCAGAAAAAAGTCCCAAGAAAGCAGTTAACCAGCTTAAACAACAGAAATTACATCAGTTTGTCCAAATTCCTGTTTATTAAAATTAATATTTAACAGCTCCATTTGATCTGAAGCTGAATCAGGAGGCAACAAATTTAATCCTTAAACCTCTGTAAACGTTTTCTGTGCAAGTGGAGACCAGTACACAATTCTGTCATACTCAAATACGGTACATTTCAACAAAAAAACAAAGCCTCTTCTAATGATATGAAAGTGGCAGTTTGTTTACAAAGTAACAGTTGTAGCAAAAACACTGAATCTGAACCATAGATACAAGAAACTGTGTTAACTGCAGTGTGATTAAGTTTCTTTTAGTACTGGGGAGCAAATCTATTGTAACAGTAATAATGTAAAGGTAAATTATGACATTTTCTTCAACTTACAACTGTCACTGAGGCATACACAAGGAAAATAAAAACTGGAATTATCCTTTAAGTAAAAACTGGTTTAGCATCACTGTTCATGTGTCTGTCTTTAACAACAACTCCAGAGCAACAAGTACAGTAGGAGTCTTAATGTATTTCATGTTTATTACCACCCACATCACATTAAAAAGGAGAGAGTAGAAATACTAAAGAAAACAATGAAGGGCGATGCAGTTTTCAGCAGCATATGTAAAAAATATTTGCACCAAATTGCGTAAACCAATAAAAACTTACATTAAGGATTTGGTCAATGTCTTGTTTTTCCAGATATGACCGTGTCACGACTCGGCCGTCAAAGTCAACTTCAGCCTTGAAGCGCACTTTACTCAGTCCCATATCAGTGGCCTTCACGTCGTGGATGGCCCTGCTCAAAACAAAATAAAGCATTCGAGGAAAACTCCAGGGGAGGCAGGTAGAAAAACAACAACAAAACAGCTCCACTGAACATTACAGTGGATTTCAGCTAGAACACAAAGTCTTCATAATGTAATGTGCAAAGCTCCTCAGCTCCTAGAATGAAATGTACAGTGAAACTGATGACAAACAGGTTATCTGCAGATCTTAAAAAGTTAAAAAGGCATTAGCAAGTCTTTACAAAAGTCTTTAAAAAAAATTCTAGCACGCCTTGGAAGGTAATGTTAGTTATAAAATGTTTCTATATGTGATTTTAGCAAAAACTGTCCATACAGTACCATAAATCTAGACCTCTGTTAGTAAAACTTATTATTAGGAATTATTGTTATATACAGCTGGGAAGGAGTGACAAAAAAGCTTTGGAAATGTCAATAAATTCCTAAATAATTTTGGGCCATATCATCCCTGCTGGCTGTCACAGATATCTTTCAGTGCGACTACATTTGTTTTATTAAAAAGACCTTTAAATGTCTTAAATTTAACTTGGTGAACAACCCTGGACAAGATCCATTCATTTCTCTAAGCAAAGTTTTGAACTCATACTTTCATGATTGACAGAGGTACAGCAGGTGGTCTCTTTGAAGCCTGGATGTTGGCCGTTAACTGTAGTACACTTGTAACGTCACTATAAGACCATGTGGATGGGCTCACCTAGTGGTCGGTGGATTTATTTGTATTCACATGAATGATTCTGGACTTGACATCAACAACACCTGAGTGATGTGTGTGTGTGTGTGTGAACATTTACTGACCTTACAGCGGGGTCGTTTTCCAGGAACTCTGTAAGCTTCTGTACACGTTCAGCCTGTATGGAGCGTCCAATCAGGGCCTCTGTGTTAGTATAGATGAGGAAGGCTGAGACGGCTCCCAGCAGTGTGCCCACACCAAGAGAGCCCAAGCTGTCATAGTACGGGTTACCTGGAACAACACACGCAGAGCCGGAGGAGGAAACCGAAAGCGAAAGAAAGGAAATCAGCAAAAGCAAATTACCTTGAGAGAAATTTATCAACCAACTAAAGACTAATAATAATTGGGATAATAGAACAGATTGAACAGTGTAAACAATGCCTCCATGTCTTTTTGTTTACCAGTGAGTGAGGTGAGCCCCATGCAGCTAGCAGCCAGGATGACTCCTAATACAGCAGCTGCGTCCTCCAGCAGCACCACGTTAGTACTGGGGTCTCGACTCTGCATTACTGCACACACAAAACAATGCAAGACCACATTGACACCTGAAGCAGCTTGTACCCACGTTACACCAGTTTAGGATTTATCCTCATAACATTTAATGTCAGATGTGTGTCCTCAGCCACGGGATGGCTATCTGATTTCCTGCTTTCCTTCACAATATGGAAATCAACTCGACCTGCTGGACACTGTGACAGAAAACCCCTGGTTTCATTTTACTCCAGAGGTGAGTCTAACCAACCCATGAGTCATTCCTGGCAACAGTACAGAGATCATACAGTGTGTTTCGCTTGGAGAAACATCTCTATTTACACTTGGCCATCTCGCATTCACAGTCTTTTAAAAAAGCACCATCATATGTGATTTCAGCAAATTCAACTCAGTCAGAATTCGATTCCTCTCCCCTGCACCTTCAGGATGTTTTACCTGCAGTTTTATGTAGATACGTGGTAAATAAACTGATATCTGATCACTACACATAATGCCAGGTGTAAATAGCATTCAATGCATTTAATGAGACAGATTTTAGTTGTACATACCATATTCATAAAAAGACAATTCATGCTGGTGGGCACTCTTCCTTATCTCATTGACGGCTACTAGTAACGTGGCTGAGAAAGAAAAACAGAAGATGTTAAAGTACAAACTGCAGAATCCCAGTCAAAACATCATTGAAGCTCTATTAACTCTATTACTCTAGTTAATTTTTATAACCCACCTCCTTCAGACACCAGAGAACCTGCCAAAATACAGTAAGCCTGGAACATAGAAACGCAACATTGTGGATCATTATTATCCTTCATACACCTTGTATGACAGACAAGAGTTGATCCAGACACTCACCCATAACAGTGATTCAATGGGCTCCGGGTGCAGCAATCCCATGATACCATGGTACCAAGAGAGGCCTGCTCCCATCATAAAAATACCCACACCACTGATGAGGGAGGCGATGTAGCGCATGTTGGAGAATCCATACCTGAAAAACACAGAAGGGCCTTATCACAGCTGACATTTCAGCCACCATTATTTTGTTAATTACACATACTTTTGCATGTGATGCTCTTTGCAAAGGATTAAAAGTTACATCTGCAAAGTTGTCGTGTAGATTTTCACAAGGCATTGTGTAACAAAATGCTGTTCTGCTAAATTCATTCACTGGAAGCCATTGGGAGTCAATCTGAGGAGGAGTCTGAATAAGTAGAAAAGTATTGTGGTGGCAATGTTATGTTAAAATTATGTCATTGAATTCAATATTGACAAGCCAGTAATAATACCAGTAATGATGTTAAATTCATTTCTCTATGTTACTTCTACTCTTTGGTGCTGTGATGACTGAATATCCTTTGGGCTCGGCTCAACTTCCTGTCATCTACTTTTCAGTAGTATAGTAAGGTGTGGTGCTTACGGGTGCACTGCGTCCGGGTTGCGGACAGACTGGCTGATTCCCAGGGCGAGCAGACCCTGGTTGCAGGTGTCAGCCAGAGAGTGGATGGCCTCGGAGAACATGCTGGCTGATCCAGTGTAGACCCATGCCAGGAGTTTGAAGAAGAAATTCAGCCCATTGCTGAGGAGAAAGAAAACAAGTGGATGTAGCACTTAGACAGTGATGACAAAGTTTCCTAGTTTACAGATTTATCTACTGGCTTGTACAGGACATTGAAACATAGTTCACTACCTAATAATGTGGCTGTTCGAGTGTAGACACACTTAGCAGTGCCAGTCAAATCATAAACAAATGATGACATAGCTGTGCTAGCATACGCAGTCCTGACAGCTGTCACATTGCCAAAGATCAGATATGAATCAGATTTAGGATCACATTTGCAGGTGGCCCAGATCTGATATGAAAAAAGAAGCCAACTGAATTTACAACAAACAGTTACTCTTATTTATGATTATATAACTTTTCTCTTTTAGTGCAAAATTTGCAGAAACTGATTCACAGCTTTTAAACCGAGACTGGACTTCTCCTGTAACGAGCATTTAACTAATTGAGTCCTGTCAGTCTTTGTGCACACTGAATGAAAGAAACGGTCTGCTGCTCATGTGACTGCACATGTCCTCTAACACAATCACCCTAATCCAATAGGCTGCAGGACCTCATGTGAGACGTCCTAATACAAATTTCTACATCTTCTAGATCTTTACTGTTGAATGTCAAAACCTTCTTTAAAACAAAAAGTCACAAGTGACTGTACATCTACTGTCCACATTGAACAGTATGTGGTTTGCGCTTTTACAACAAAGATTTTTGTTCAGTCTCTCAAACGGTACACTCCGATACTTATCCGACATAGCGTATGTAGTAACCCTGCTGAGAACGGACTCGTAGTTTCTCTCTCTAATCCAATACCTCCCACTGTGTCCTACAGCTAAGTAAAGTCACTGAGTACAGACAGATCTCAAAACAAAACCAAACAGCACTCGGGGTAACTCAGGGTGAGAGTACGAAAACTTACATGCAAATAGCGACCATGACCACCTTTCCTGGCCCTTGCAGAAATGTTGCCCTCTTGCCTGATCGAGGCTTTATGAGACAAAGAAATGCAAAAAGCAAAGTGAAATTCTGATTTTTATAAAGTTAAAAAAGAAACAAGTTTGTCAATGAGTGCAGAGATGGGGCGCTCTAATATTAATCAAACACATACTGGTTATGTTCCTGGTAAAACAAAACTATTTAAAAATGGGCTTCAGACAAAACATAAACATGTTGTGGATTTCCTGTCCTGTAGTTGCTATGCAGTTTATGCAGTTGACTTTATCTGATGAAGAATACTGTGAGGATGCTCTGCAAAAACAAGCCAGCAGAGTATAGAATATACAATGCCAGAGGAGTACAGGACAGTACAGTATTGAAATAACATCAGCATCGTACAGTAAAGAGGGGCACTGTATGAATGACAGATAATGACACTGTCATATAAATGCAGTGACCTCTGTAACAGGGACAAAGGTCACGCAGCACCACCCGCTGTTGTCAGGGCAACATGGTAACAGGACTTCCCACATTACTTTCTCTTTCACATCTAAGACATGACTTGGAGACTTGATCATATTATTAAACTTAATGGCCACTGATAATCAAAGTGCTCACCTTGGTGTTTCCCCAGAAGTCTTTGTATTCTTTCAATAACTGTTGATTCCGAAAAATGTCTGGAAGACACAAATAAAACAACATGTCAAAAAGTTCACACATAAAAAAAAAAACCCCATCAAAAACCACTGAGAAACAATAAGGTATGGTTATATCGATAAGTTAAACAAATATTCACATTTCTGCAACTCTAAAAATATGAGTTGAGTTTGGTTCGAACAGATCCACATTTGGGAAACACACTTATTTAGAGCTGCAATGATTAGTCGTTTAAGTCACTATGCAAGCAAAAATTCCCAAATTTGATGAGTCAATGTCCACAATGTGAGAATTTGCTGCTTTTCTTTGTCATACATCACACTAAATGATATACTTTGTTGGTCTGACAAAACAAGACAATTAATGACAACACCTTGTGGTCTAGGAAATTTTTTTTGGACCAAACAATCGATTAATCAAGAAAATAATTGCCAGATTAATCGAAAATAAAAATGATCATTAGTTTAAGCCCTACACTAGTTCGCTTTCTTGCAGAGTCAGATGAGAAGACTGGTACCATGCTCATTTCTCCAACATCCGTTTAGCTTAGCTTAGCACAACAGACTGGTAACAGGGGGAAACAGCTAGCCTGGTTTTCTCCAAAGGTAACCTTTCCTCTAATTCTCACTGATTAATGGAGGTTCTCATCTGCCTCTTTGTCAGAAAGTAAATAAGAGTATTTCTCAAAACACTGAAATTCTGCTTTGAGATAAAATATTCAGCATTAACGCAAGTTCACAAAGATCCACATGCAGCCAGGAAAACTAAAAACTTACTCTCTTGGTACTCTCTCTCCACCTCTTTCCTGAGTTTTCTCTCTCGAGCCAGAGCTTCATGGCTTCCCCACACGTCTAGTGCTCTAATAGTCACAGACAGAAACAAATGAAACAACAACAGTTAGAGAATACAGCAATGAAAACTGATGGTTTGAGCAATAATTTGTTGTTGTTATTGTGTGTTCTTAATAGCCCTGAAGGTGCAAAGAAGAAGGGTGGAGAACTAACTTGGCCTCGACGTCTGATCGCAAGAACACAGTGAAAGCCTCTGTGTCATCGTGGGGGCTGCGTCTTCGGATCTTCCGAAGTTGCTCCAGATCGCTGTGAACACATGAGGCGAGGGGGCAAGAAAAAGATGTAGAAAGACCTGTGTTAAACCATATTAGGCATGGCAGCCTCACATTAGTTAATCACAACAGCATGTTTACTGATTAACTCAGAGGAATTTGTTCTGTGGTTGTGGTCTGCCAGCATCTCAGCTTGCACTGAACAGACGTATGAGTATTTAATACCATTCATTCAGCTGAGCATTGACAGACAGTTAAGTGTTGCTGTATACATTAAATTATACGTAACACAGTTACTTTGGGGAACAGGAGTTACCTTGGTTTGAGGCAGAATTCATTCATGGCTCTGACTGCAGTGATGAAGTTGTTCTGAGTGTACTTGGGTCCATATTCCCTTTTCTTCAGGACTGCCCGAACTGCATATGACAACAGAGGAAAATGAATGAAACAGGATTTTTATCTGTACTCAGTAGTCCTCATTCTGCTGCAAGCCACCATATCACACCCACATTCTGAAGAAGATAGTAAAAATACAAGGTGAAAGTGGGGACTATCATCTAAAATGAGTTTCATGTAAAGGACGCACATATGTTGTTATTACCTTTCACTTGAATTGTCTCAGCTTTAGTCAGACCCTGAGGCATGAAACCTAGACAGACAGAAATAAGTGAATCAACAAACAAGCTAAGAATTTTATAAGTGCAATATTCTTGGCTGTAGTCAGCTGGGGCAGCAGCATCAGAGCCAGTGACACCAACAAGCTGACCAAATTTATCAGGAACGCTGACTCGGTGCTGAGGGCTTCTCTGGAGTCTTTGAAGTTGGTTGTGGAGAGGAGGATGGCGTACAAACTGTTGAATGTCATGGAGAGCATCTCGCCTCCCCTCCACGACCTGCTGGTCAAACAGCGGAGCACTTTCAGTACGAGACTTATTCAGCTCCGGCTGTGACAAAGAAAGAAAAAGGAATCCATTCCTGCCATCTGCCATCACTCTGTATAATGACTGTCGGCTGTGTTGGGACTTCTATTTACACTTGTTCAACTGCTCGTTAACGCAAATATCTAATAGGCCAATCAAATGGCAGCAACTCAATGCATTTAGGCATGTAGACATGGTCAAGACGATCTGCTGAAGTTCAACCTGAGCATCAGAATGGGGAAGAAAGGTGATTTGAACATGGCATGGTTGTTGGTGCCAGATGGACTGGTCTGAGTATTTCTGAAACTGCTGGTCTACTGTTTTTTTTTACTGGGTGCCACTCCTGTCAGCTAAGAACAGGAAACTGAGGCTACAATTTGCACAGGCTCACCAAAAGATTGGAAAAACGTTGCCTGGTCTGATATGTCGCGATTTCTGCTGCGTCATTCGGATGGTCGGGTCAGAATTTGTCAGAACATGAAAGCATGGATCCATCCTGCCTTGTCTCAACGGTTCAGGTTGGTGGTGGCGTTATGGTGTGGGGGAAATTTTCTTGGCACACTTTGGGCCCCTTAGTACCAACTGAGCATTGTTTAAACGCCACAGCCTACCTGAGTATTGTTGCTGACCATGTCCAGCCGACAAATCTGCAGCAACTGCATGATGCTATCATGTCAATATGAATCAAAACCTCTGAGTAATGTTTCCAGCACCTTGTTCAATCTATGTGACAAAGAATTAAGGCAGTTCTGAAAGCAAAAGAGGGGTCCCACTCAGCACTAGCAAGGTGTACCTAACAAAGGGGCTGGTGAATATATATATATATATATATGTATAAAATATATCCAGTATGATATATTACTACTACCATTGTACAGTGTATAGTATAGCTATCAATCTATCTATCTATCTATCTATCTATGAATGGGAGCAACAAAAATTGTATTTGAACTACTTTGTGGGAGATTTTTACATTTTCCTAAACATCTCATCTTCCCAGAACTGTTTTCTGGGGTTTGTGTTGACACAGAATGTGAAAGGACAACAATTTTAAAAGAGCAAATAGTAAATACAATGCACACAAAAGACAGACATTGAACATTTCAACATCTTCTGCAGTATATGGAAACATTAGTTTATCACCTAATGAGGATGGGGTGGCTTTTGCAGCACCGGACTTTTCTGCTGATGGAGCATCACCTGATGCTGATTTTGGAGGACCATCCTTACTGTTGCCAGAGGTAGAGTAGAACTGCACCTTGCCCGGACCTAAAGAAGCAACTCTGCAGTCCGGAAGGCTGAACCACAGGGTGTGTATGCCTCCGCTCTGCCAACCTGTGCAACACAATGTTCAATACGCCTTTTTCCTCAGTTCCACTGTATAGCAAACAAACACCAGGGTTCAAGAGAAACTATTACATTCATTATCAGTTAATCTGTTGATGAATCACTTTGACTGTAAAACAATGTCTGTCCCAAGTTCGACATAAACGACTATTCAATCATTAAAATAGTATATACTAAAATGTAATAATTTGTTATTGATCGACTAATCCATTAATCAACTAATCGCTTCAGCAAAGTAGCAAGCATCATATTGTGTAACAGATGTGACCGTAGCTAACGTCTACTAGCCCCTGGATATGAGCCTCCTCACCGTAGCACAGCTGGGGGAACCTCGGGCTCGGGGTCCGTTGTGACAGGGACACCCTGTGCTGCAAGGAGACCCTGCAGAAGACATGCCATGGTCTGTGGGCCAGGCTGGGGAACATCCTCGGTGTAGCGGAGCTCGGCACTGAAGAGCAGGAACTCCCTATGCAGAGTCACAGACAGCCGGTCAACTGTACAGCGTTAGCAGCCCGCTTGTCACTTAAACCCAGTTCAGACAGATTAACACCGAGACATCGCCTCTCCACATCTGACAGTATCATCAAGTAGAACATTTAACATTGGCTACAAATAAACTCAAATGTTGACCACATCTGACACCTGTCTCTAACTGAAATGGTTGTCATTGATAATCAATCGGCTGGTCAACTAATGCCTCTGCCGGCTAACGCTGACGCTGCTACAGCTACATAGCCCCGTAGGCTAACATCATTAGCTGCCGCAAGTAACAAGTGCTGTTTAGCATTCTACTTTACTCAAAAACAACTGCAACTGACTAGTAGGTAGATTTCAATCATATTATTCAGAAAAAGCCAATACCTTTCTATGGTGATGTTTGTTCTGCATAATCTGTGTCCATTTTAAGAATCTATGACCAAGCTGATGTCAACGTACATAGGGTAACTGCTACAAACAGACACACGTGACCTGTGACACCTAACTGACGTTGACGCTGTTCTCGTGAGAGCGTAATTGGTTTCCGTGTTCTGACAACTTCTATCGCGATGGTCCGTGTATGAAGTATAATTCTTTTGCAGTTGTTCACATTGTATAGTGAAAAATGCCAGCTTGGGGGGTATTGCCTAATATCATTGTCCTACTTGTGCTAAGTGCAAATGTATGTTGACGTTTGTGAGCTCGTTCTTCATTAGCCGATGCTGCCTAAACGCTTTTAACGCTTTGCGTATCTTATACAATGAAAATTGAACAAGGAAGTCGAGAGCCGGAAACAAAATAGCTCGCTTTCAAAGTAAAGGTTGCGCGTTTTGAACAAGCGTGCTGCAGTGGTCAATTTAAGGAGAGCTAAACTAAGTAAATCCACAAAACACTGGAATTATTAAAGGGTCTTACGATTCATGTATGTAGCTATTCATCGATTTATTAATTTGATTAGGTGTTGATTGCTTTAATCTTTTATTTTGAGTGAACATTAAAGGCTATGTGTGTGTGTGCACGCGCGCACAATTGCTGTGTGCATGTCACCGTTCACTCTTCATTCTTCTTTATAAAGGTGCTGGGGAGATAGGTGAGAGGTAGGTTCGATATATTTATTTATATACAGTCTATGGTTCGATATGGTTTAAACAATACTGGAGAAAAGGTTTAGGGGTTGTTGCACTGATTAACCCAACCAAAATGACTGAGGAACAGTGTTGGCTCTTTGTAAATAATGTGGCAGCCTAATAAATGTAGACTAGTAAAACACCTCGGTGATATATAGAATACCAGACAGTTGACAAATTAAAGAAATAACAAATCTAAGTGTAATAAGGTAAGTAAGGTGTTGAGCCAAAACAGCTTCAGTGGTTAAACTGGGTTGAGATCTGGTGACTGTAAAGGCCACAGCATATGATTCACATAATTTCCATCCTCATTAAACCATTCAGTGACCCCTGGTGACCTGTGGACGCAGACACTGTCATCACTGTTTCCCTACTTATTCTTCTGGTTTTAATTTGACACCATCTGTATATTCACATATGTTCTGTTTCAAAGGTCAGGGATACACTGTCACTGTCATTTCTGTTAAGACTTGATCTACATACAGTATGTAGTATATGTAATACATATTGTATGCATATATGTGAATTTGATGTTCGTAAACCATAAGAACAAGGTGTTTAATGATGGTGCTATTGTTGCACATGTGATCAGTTGATGTGGCTGTCATTGTCCTCTCAGATTGAGGCCAGCAGCAGCTCGCAATGTGTGGATTATATGTTGTCATTAGATATTTAGCAGTGCTGGACATTCTGAGCTTAATGATCCACACCTTCAACAGCCAACACACAATGTGTCAAACAGCACTAATTCAAATGTCCACTGCTCTAATACAAACTTCACTTGAGTGTGTACATCATATAGATAATAATTACAGGCTTAGAGCAGAAAAGTTCTCATAACAAGATGACTTGTGATGATTTTTACCTACCACCACAGAATTAAGGTGTCTAAAAAACATTTATTCACCAGTCTTATATGCAAATAGATACATCACACTAGTACATCTGGATAGTATGTTGTTATCACATACTTTGGCTCGACAGAGGAGTGTCTCGTGTCTCTTAGTTACGAGCAGAAACACAACTCCCTCTGCCCAAACATGAGAAGTACAGTACTTTGTTCAATGCCCAACTCGTGTCAATTGTAAAGACAGGGAAAGGCACTAGTGAAGAGGTGTTACAACATGCCACTAAATCAAAACAACAAAGGGCTTAGTCACAGAATGAAGAGAAACGAATCACAACAGTTAAGAAAAAACACCTGCAGGTTTAATGAATCTTTGAAACAGTACAATAGATATGTTATGACCTTGCATTGGTAGTAAACAGGTGCCTTAAGAAGCAGCAGTGTTTGTAAATCTGACAAATGACTGACAAATCAAACACATACACTAGGAGAGAGGTCTTTTGACTTCCCATGCAATCACTTGACAACAATACCTGTGGATCCATCACTTCCATTTCACAATTATCAAAATGGAATCCAGTACAGTTTAAGAAGGTCATAACTCGGTCTTGGTCCATTTAGGTAAAAATTAGAAAAAAATGAAACACTGCGCACAAATAAGGTCACTTATATGAGAGAAAATGGAAGTATGTTGGTAGTTTTAGAAAGCAAGTCGTCAAGCCGATGAGAGAGTAATATGGAGTGGTGACTCTGTCCTGGTATGCTTGTCTGGGTAGCTGGTTGTATAGGGAAGCGAGGGGTGGGGTTGGTGTTTGTGGTTGCATTAACGCATCGTGACAAACTCCTCAGATGAGGTGGGGTGAATGGCAATAGTCTTGTCAAAGTCTGCTTTGGTAGCACCCATTTTGATGGCCACAGAAAAGCCCTGCAGCATCTCATCACAGCCCAGGCCCTGCATGTGTAGGCCCACCACCTGGGGAAAAGAGACAGTTCAGTATCTGAGGGTCACTGCAGTTGCCAGTGTATACAAGAGTCAAAAAAAAAGGAAACTGTTAAACTCAAAAAGGTTTAGTTCCATTTAGTTCAGGGAGTCACAGACTAGAAGAGACTTTAAGTGCCCTAAGTGTTGCTGTTTTCTGTGTTTGAATTAAGTGCTGCAAAGTTAATGTTTGGTTTCAAGACTTTTCCTAAAGCTGCCTCATCTACTTGTACGTCAGTGAGCTAGCCTACATTTCTCAGAAAGACTTTCAACAGCTTGCAGAGATTGGGTGTGAACATGTTGACCTCAGACTTGTTGAGCAGGTGAAAGAGGAGAAAACAATAGTGTCAACAACATAATAAGAGCAAGGGAGATATTTCTGGGTAAGAAAAGGCAAGAGATACATCCCATACATGGATCTATCTTTGCGTAATAGCTGATTACGGTGCTGGTGCAAAATAGTGAGTCTAGACAAGAAGCCTTTGCAAAACCCTGATATTTATTGGTCATGTCGTATGTCAGACTCGTCTGGTCTATTTCTGGTTGTTTAGGAATAAGAAAAAGTCCACTAAATAACAAAATGTCCCCCAAAAAATCCAACCTATTAACACCTGTGTTTATTTAAGTATTGATTTTTTTTCAACAGTCTTAACATGGTTTAGAGAAAATTCTTCCTTTAATGTTAAGTACCACATATACAGAAAGGTTTCAACCAGGTTTTCAGATCTTCATTATCAAGTCTAACTGATGAGTGCCTTAAGAGTCAACAACAGCAACACAATGGAGTAGTTTTTTGATAGATACATAATTATTACAGTCAAAACAATTTGTGAGAAAAGTAAATGCACTGTTTCTGATTTGTACAGCTGTTATCTGGAGGTCAGAAGACTCCTACCTTCTCCTCCTTGCCCACACACACCAGCTTCATGATGCACTGACTCTTCCTGCTCGTGATGGCGTGATACATTGGAGTGAAAGAAGTCTTGTAAATCTTCACATTCTCCTTTCCTCTGGATTTAATGGCCTCATCTGTGACATGAAAGTGAACTAATTAAGTATATGGATTTCTGTCTTACTGAGTAAAGCTATGAGTAATACATTATTTCCATTAAAACTTTCATCCAGAGCGTAAATGTAGTGCAGCTTAAATGTGAACGTGGTAGTGGAAATGTCATAATTCTGAAAAGTTAAGTTGCTATTCACTGAAAGACATCTTTGGGTGCACTCACCTTCTGTGAGGCCCACAGTACCGATGGGTGGGTGGCTGAACACCACTGTGGGAATACTGGAGTAGTCCAGCTTGGAGTCCTTCTTGCCCTCAAACAGTCTGTGTGCCAGTTTTCTGCCTGCAGCAATGGCAACTGCCACAACATACAACAGAACATCAGAGTCCAACTCCCTAAGTAAACATTTCATTTCCCTACAAAGGATTAGATATCCATCTCAAACCAGAAAGCCCAGTACCACGTAATGTTACTGTTGCACAAAGGTTATGTCGAAGCTATAAGACAGTAATGGGCGTCTGCTCTAATACCACCTTAATTGGCTGTTGAAAACTGTAACTACCGACATTATGTAGACAGATGGTTTTCACTACATGGGAGCTGCACCTGCACCTAATCCTCATTTTTAGAGGTGACTGAGAGCAACACGTTACTTCAGACATGTTTTTTAAAGCTATAAAAATTTGATATGATCTTTGTGGATTTCACAGGTGAGATTTGTAGTCAAATCCTGGTCTGAATGGCCTTTTGGGGGTTAAACAAGGCCACAAGGCCAACAGTTTATTTTTTTGGACCTGATCTACACTTGAAAAGTTGTCATTGATGGTTTTTTGTATTTGGTCTGTTCAGGCTCAAATCACCTACATACAAGAAACCCAGAGCCTGTTACCTAAACAGACCTGGACTCTAAAGTAGTTTGTTTAAGGGGCAGAGTTCTGGTGACTTGTTATATTGGCAGTTTTCTTACTGACATCATCTTGTTGTACACAACATCAACCTGAGAAAATGTGTTTCTTGTAATTGGTGCACGTATGTTCTCACTCAAAACCATATCAGAATTCGATTGGGCGACGACACAGACTTGTATTTCTGGCAATTTCAGCTCAGTTATTTGGAGCCAGAAGTGTTCAAATGGGATTTTCATGCAGGTATTGCCTCTAATACACACTAAATAAAAAGTTAAGAGTCCCTATCTGTTCAAATAAATTAAACTAAAATTTTAATGTTCAATCTAAAAATGTTTCCTACAAACCCAAACATAACACTGTTTTTCACTCCTAGAAATAAAAAAAAAGCCAAATATAGAGATATTCAACATTGACAGAAAATATTATTGAAGATTTCACTCTCAAAAAACACCCATGCTGACCAAGCTCTAAACATCACTATAGTTTTTACATTTGCAACATGATTTGGGTTATTACTGGGAGGAAGCTACCTGGTGTGAGAAGAGCTTTGCCACAAACATCCCCTACAGCGTAGATCCCTGGTCGAGTGGTGTTCTGAAACTCATCCACAATAATATGGCCTCTTTCATCTGTAACCACACCCTGCAAACAGAGAGAAAAGCTGTTTAATTAGCTAAAACATCACATTTTAGCATTGAAGTGCGTGTACCAGACAAACAAAGGAGCAGGAAAGTTTTGTTTTTTGTCTACAGCAAGAAACAACAGTGAGTCATCCTGGCTGTGGAGGCTCAAAGCCTTTAATGTAAACCTGAACACACACAGCAGAGGAAACAAAGTCTTCACTGAGAAGTGTGATAATGTTTAACGTGGTTATGTGTCAACAAAGACCAATCTCAAACTGGGCCTGAATGCCACTCAGATGACAAGGTGGCTTTTCCTTCATAATGCTTGTAAAAAAAAAAAAAAAAAGAAAAGTTAGTGGTTCCCTGTTAAACTGCTGATTTGCTACTCACACTTCATATTACAGGCTAGACAATAAAAAGAGAAGTCAGAATAAGAATAGAAAGGTCTATAAAATTTTACTTCCTTTTAATGGACAATCTGATGGCCCACTTCTCTCTGCTGTCTACTAGCTAGAAGTACCATAAATAGACGAGAGAGGACTTTGACTTAACCCAGACTTAACTGCCCCTTTAATCCATTATTAATTTGCCTGTTGACCCTGAGCTAACAAGCATTTTACATGTGACAACGTTTCACTGACAAACAACATAACAAACAGTTATGTGACAGCTGTCTAATTTTAGTTCCAGATTATCACTAATCATTTATTTGACATGGTTTATTTTGAGATGTTTTTATATAAAGGTGTTAAATAATGAAACCTTGATGAAGCCATTACACTGTGTAAAATATTAAATAATGTATGTGTGTTCAAGACAGAAATAAAGACCACTTTCAAAATGATCTGTTATAATCTATGAGGACAATTAAGCAGCCGGGATGAGGAGACACAGGGAATACTGTGCAGAGCCAAAAACGAATTAATTCCCTTTGCAGACAGTAAGTGGTGATAAGCTGAAGTTGTCTGTCTGTACCCATTTTATTGATGTTTAAATCATTTTGTCTGTGTAGGAACATCTGTCTGTTCTTCCACTGAGCTTATACCATCCAGTTTAATGTAAAGAGTAAAGAGGAGAAGTTTCATGAGCAGACTGTTACCATCTCGCCGATGTTCAGTCCAGAGGTGTTTGGCTGCCTGCCGATGGCCCAGAGAAGACAGTCCACCTCCTGGATGGTGCTGATCTTCTCCTCATCGTTCTTCTTCTCTGGGTCTTTGGTGACGAGCGTCACCTCCAGACCCTTGTCTGTTTTACTCACAGACTTCACCTGAGAGTTCTTCCACAAATCTATACCAGAGTTCTGCAGTTCTTTGGTGCAGTTTGTGCTTATGAAGCTGTCGAAGTTCCTCAAAACCTACAGAGAGAATACGAGAGTAGCACACGTGCATGGCTGCACACAACTGATAATCATTCAGTTCAGTATTTGTTATGAGCTGTGATTTTAAGTATTACTTACTCCTGTCTGTCGAATAACGAGGGATGTTTTGGACCCCAGGGTGGAAAGGATGCCTGCCATTTCTACTGCAATATAACCAGCACCCACAATCACACTTCGCCTGTTGGGAGAACAATTTTGATTACAGACAAAAATGTTCCCGATGGTATCCAGTAAACACTACAGAAGAGATTAAACTTACTTAGGCAGTGTTTCAAGTTCAAAAAAGCCATCACTGGTAATGCCAAGACCTGCCCCTGTAATGATTAATAAACACAGTATTTGATACAGTTTTCTACTTTCATAAAAGCATTCTCATTTGAAAAGGTTAAAACAAATTGATTACTGTTTCCAAGTAGAACCCAAGTACAGTTCATCTTACCTGGAACTTCAGCATCACTCAAAACAGAAGGCTGCCCTCCAGTGGCAATAAGGATGTGAGGTGCTGTATACTTTTTTCCACCGACCTCCACAGTAGGCTCAGGATCATTTGTGAACCTTGCACGACCTTGAATAGTTTGTATTTTAGCCTGTAAAAGAGCCGATGTCATTACTTTCCCTGCAAATACTGTCTTCTTTCTCCATTCAAAAATAAATTAAACAAAGTCAAATATTTCTTGATGCAGTAAAGATGCTGAAAAACCATTTTACAAACATGAGGTTAACCCGAAGTAAGAGAAAACATGTTGACGGAAAAGAAAAGACACTGATATAATAAAGATAATATAAACTGTGAAATTACCTTGTCAAGATTGTTGCGATAAATGCGATTTAAGTGACTAACATAAGCATCCCTTTTGGCCTTAAGAGTTCTGCAAACACAAACACAGGAAAGATAAGGGTTTTTTTTACCAGCTGTATTTACTCAAGGCTTGACACTCAACTCTGTCCAAAAGTTGCATGCACATGAAAACATTTCTAAAGGTGGAAAGAAGGGGAAGAAAATCAATCAATCAGGCATTAAAAGATAGAACATACACTTAAATAAATGTTCCATCACAGATTCATCCCAGCAGTACGTTTGGTTTTTCAGCAAACAAGCCTGCATTTGATCATACTGGTGCATAATTCAGCCGGGGCACAGTTCACATACAGACAAATGAATGGCGACAAATTAAAGGAAAAACCAACATAAAAGGGTCTTAGTAAGGTGTTGGGCCCCCATGTGCTGCCAGAACAGCTTCAATGCTCCTCGGTTTTGATTCTCCGAGTCTCTGAGCTCTACTGGAGGGGTTGAACACCTCTCCAAAAGATATTCCCTCATTCTGTGTTTTGGTGACGGCGGCCAGCATGTGGAGAATACGGTGACGGGAGACTCATCTGACCATATCACTTTTTCATTACCAGAATTTCCTGCTCGCTCCAGAGATTTTAACTCTTAAACCGTCTGTTCACAAGTCTGCAGCGATCTGTTGGAGAAGTTATTCAGGCCGCCAAAGCATTTCCTGCATTTGTAAACAACATCCAGCACCACCATAAACACTTGTGTCATGATACTTCTGTTGTGAAGATGTTTTTTTTTGTATATTAGAGCTGGTTGAGACGGTATATCACTGTTTCAAGTTTTTGTTTGAACAGAACCACATCTAAATGGTATCTTATTAATTTATTTTTTATAGTATTGTATTTTTCACTTTGTAAGAACTACATAATCCTTCTGACATTGTAGTGTAGATCCTGCTGTGATGAACAGGGGATGAACTAAATAACAGGAACACCTGACAATATAATACAATCTAATACCATAACACAAACTACAGTCTCAGAAATGACGAGTTGAAGCAACAGAATTTCTGACATACTTGTTACATGGTTATTCTGTTAAATTGCATTAGTATTCAGTGATACTATTTCTGCTTCCTGTATATTTTAACATTATTTTTTTGTAGTGTAAACACACAGTCTTGTCCAATCCATACAGGCACACCTTGATCCTATGACTGCCCATTCCTGTTGTACGATTGTGCTTTGAATCTCTGACCAATGTTTTCCATTTCTGCAGGCAGCCACTCCTTCCACAGGCTTATCTTAGGCAATCACCCTGACTGAACTATGTTGTTCACAAAGATAAAGAAGTAGGCCAAAGTGAAGCAACAGAAAACAGGACAGACTGAGAAGTTATGCTGTGAAATGGATACCGCTTTGTTCCAGGAACTACCAACCAACAGTTTTCAAAAGAGCTCTTTGTGGTTGCAAAAAAAAAAGAAAAAAAAGGTGAAAACAGACACCAACAGATACTGTAACTTACTCCCAACTGAAACGAACATTTCCAACGTCAAAGCCGTAATCATTGTGATCATGGAGATACTCAGCATGAACTGCTGCATTCCACATAACCTGTGACGAGAGGTAAAGGTACTGGGTTTGAAATCTAGTGAATTTTGACGCATATATTAACAATTATGTCTCTGCGTTAAACTCTGCCTATTACAAGGAGGGAAAGACTGTACCTTCTTTGGAACACAGCCAACATTAACCTGAAAAACAATGAAACAAATTAGTTCAGAGTAAGCTCGATCAAACAGCGTCCAAGCACATTTAAGCACGTTAAGTTTTAAAGAAAGGAGGGCTCTGAACTTTATTTGCACAGCACATTACTTAATTGATATGTATTGCAGTGTTAAATTAAAAGCTAAAACGTAAAGTAAAAGCCTTGCTTAGAATTTCATCGTACGTAAAAACATATAGACTAGAGCTGGGTGATGTGGCTTATATCAGTATCACAATATTAATATTAATATTTTCCCCAGATAAATATATAATCACAATATTGTAAATGCATGCACAATTAGATATGAAATAATCTAGTTGATTGCAATAATGAAGTGTGTTCCTTTGCATTTATGTCCGACTAAAGTTTTCATATTTGGAAACAAAACCTTCATGATACCATAAGTCTCAACTTACTCTGCAAATAAAAAGGTGCAGATATTGGATTTTTTTATGTGATTTGTACATTATATCAAGCAAGCGTCTTTCCTTATTTATTAGCAAAATTGGTAAAATTACTCTGAAAACCAGCCTCAGCTTTGTGCAGTAACAGATTGTTTAACACAAATCTGCAGCAGTATCTGTTCTCAACTCCCCACTTGTTAGTTCAACTGAAAAGTGAATGTGGTAGGTGGACACAAAAATATGAACACGCCAATATACAATGCAATACAAAAGCAAAAGCCCTGCAATAGTAAAAATGAAATATATGAAAAATTCTCCATTCTAAAACAACTTATTCTTATATGTCTATTTTTATTTATTGTATCTACCCTTTCATAGACTGGACGTTAGCTTCAGTGTGTCAGGGCTGGGGGAAGAGGAGGGTTGCTTATCGGCTGGGACGCTTCAAACTTCTAACAAACCCACAGTGTTTGTTGTACACAAAAAACTTCCACAAAAGGAGTCGGGAGGCTTCGCATTGAACCTGGCAACTAACGTGTGTGTGAAAGCTGCAGAGGCGACAGTAAAGTGACAGCAGTCGGGATGGATGGCAGTGTTTTGTTTTGTTTTTTTTTTTTTACTCACGCAGGTACCTCCGAGTTTGTGACTCTCGATCACTGCGGTGGCTGCTCCGAGCTCCGACGCCCTCCGAGCTCCGGCCAGACCCCCAGACCCGCCACCGATCACTAGAAAGTCCAAGCGGGTTGTCTCTGCTGCCTTCGGGTCTGAGGCCATGCTGCGGCGGATCACTCCGTGTCTGCGAAAATACGAGAAAAGTTGCTTTCTGAAGATAAACCAGCACGGAGGTTGTGTCCGGGTTAGCTGGATTAAAATTGCCATAACCAGGAAGCTAGCAGCCGTATGTGTCGGACGAATGGGGAATGGGAGGGTCAAGTGAAAGCCACTGCTGTGTCATTATGAATTACAACAATGGTGTGTAAATCCCAGAAACAGTTTTCACAATAGTCATGATGATCCTCACATGAGCTACTGTGGAGAGGGGGTTACAATAACAGCAAAATCTCTAACAAGAATTTGATAAAATATCAAGCTAAATTCAAAGTATGTGAGCAATGAGGCTTCTAGATTTAAAAAATACATAATTAGCAACCGAGAAAGTATCATGACAATTATTTAAATAACAAATATTCTTCAGTCTAGTGTCTGACATAAACACACTCACCTGGGTAATGCCAGGGACACTGAAATAGTAGGACGCAGTCTGCAGACTCTTATAAACAGCATGTTTATATCTTTTTGTAGGGCATTTTAATGAGATGTATCCACAACGTGCCGTTGTTTATCTCTATCTCTCTCTCTCTCTCTGGTCACTCTCAGCCTTTGGTTTGACTTTGTCACCTCAAATTCATAAGCTGTAAACCACTTCCTGTGTCATTGGGTGAACTCAACGTAACCCAGGCACATTTATACCAACTGGTGCGATGACTCGTCCTCCTGTCTGTCTCTAAAATAGGTACAAATGTTGCCTTCAGTGATTTAATGAGAAAATTGCAACCGAGGATTTTAAAATGATCACTGTCATGGTGGAAGTTGTCATGTTTGAGGGCGGGACAACGTCGATGCCCAATCATATCTTTACGTGTTTTTTGTAACAGATTAGGAATTTAGCGTAAACAATCCCAGGAAATACCAGCCGTTTGCGTTGTGTTTGTTCAGGAATAGCACGTACGCTTCGCCCAGTTCGTCAGTTGTCAAGAAAAACAAAATAAAACTTGAACTTCCGGTTGCAACTTTCAAAAGTATACGTCACTCCAAGAGCAACATGTATCACAACATTGTTTTGTAACGTACAACACCATAAAAAAGAAATTAAAATTAATCAAAAAGGTAATTGAGCTTATGTTATCAGTAAATTTAGACCATACAACGCATTGGAGTAGTTTTATTTTTATTTCACACTCTTATTTTGAATGTAGGAGCAGCTATTTCCGGAATTGTTTTCGCTCGATACGAATGGCTAATGCCAAGCTAACGTGAAAGCGGCTCGGTTGGTCGTGTTGACAAGCGTCAGTATCAAATCCAGAGAAGGGATTTTAAACAGTCGATTCACTTTGAATATATGTAACGGATCATAAAAACGCATTTACACAACACTCCAAACAGGTATGTGTTTGGGATTTGACTCTGATGCAAATATAAACAGTTGCGGGGCGTCGTCTTTGTGAACCCCTAGTTGTGGTCAGGTAGGGCCTTTTGCTTGTGTTCAAAGGAGGACAGCAGCAGGAAAATTTAGAGATGAATTCATGCAGTTTAGTTGGCCGCTGTGTGTCTTTTGTCATGCTTGCAGTTCGGCAATTGGAGAAGAGATAGCTGCAGACGCAGAAAATGCTGCATGAGCTGTGTGTGAGGGGGGAGGGGCTTTATGGGCCTTGTTATAATGTCATCACTGTGCCCTGTAAGGTTCACTCACACTTTGACTCTTAACGCTTTTTTTTTCTCATTTGCTTTTCGCAGGGGGCAGATGACTCCATTGTCAGTTCACGGTTTCATCGGCCTTTGCTTCCCTGACGAGTAAACGCTGGATGTCAGGCGAAGATGGATGTTTATTTCACTGTGTAACTGCAGCCTTTGATTTGTGGGACCCTGCTGCCAGATGACCAGTAGACCTCACTGTTCAACATGAAACCTGTCGGTTATCAAAGCATCCCATCATCTGTGAATGGTGGACATCAGAACTTGCCCTTGGATCGTGTATTAAGCACTTCAAATGTGATGTATTGTGAGAAATGTGGATTTGCTTCTGCAGACCCTGCAGTGTTTAAGAAGCATATGATTGAACACATGGGGACAAGATTTTACTGTTTTTATTGCAACAATGTCTCATTCAGTGAGGCAGAGTTAAATGCACACCTGAAACAACATACTGCAAAATATCCATTCAAATGTCCTCACTGTGGACAGGGCTATATGAGGAGGCTGTGCCTTGTGAAGCACATTGAGCGTCTGCATAGTAAAAGCATTAGTCAAGGACCTGCTAAGCCTGGCATGACTAAAACTTCTCATGTGCCTGTCTCCAGTGCCTTACCAAGTGTGCCCACCGCTGATCCATCATCAGTTCGACCAGCTGTCCGGGTGACAATACCCACCCTGAGTGCACCTGCAGTCAGACTGGGCAAAGATGAACAGAGGGGGAAAACACTGGACACAAATGTATCAAATGGCACGAATGGAAATACAGAACGTTTGTCCCCTTTGAGTGGACTCATTCAGCACAACAGGGCGCTAACAGTTTCTCTTCCAGAGGAAGTAACAATCCCTGCTGGCTGCTTGGTTGAACTTGTTGAGGTGAAAACTGTTAATGGGACAAAGGAGCTTAAACTGAGGCTTGTCACTCAACAAGAAAATGAGTCTGTGATAAAAGACACAAGGACCACAGTCTCTCAAAACACTGCTATGGGAAAGCCATTATCATCTACACTAAATCATCCAAACACAGTGAAGTCTCTGAGTATGGGGATGTGCACAGTCAACAGGAAACAGTGTGAAACAAAGTCGGTGAATGTGGAGCGTCCTGCTGTTGTCCCAGTCAGTATTTCCAAAAACCTTCCAAATCAAGGAAGCAAAGAAAAGAGCGGATTCAAAAGACCATCACAAGAAATAATCAACTTGGAGTGCAACACAGTCATTCCAAACAAGCTTCCCAAAAGTATCCTCAATCCTGTAAGAGACGGAAATAGTGGGATCAGAGTTGCACCAAGAGAAGCTGTAAATCATAATGCAGCTCCTCCGACTGTTATCACCACCAGGGTTGCCAACAGGTTGTCTAGCACCCTGCATCCAGACAACATGGCAACTGGTGTTTCTCAGAGAGCAGTGGAGGAGAGGAAGAATTTAATTCCAGAGCATTCCCAGAGTATCCTAGCCCGGAGAGCAAGTGACACAAAAAACATCCCCAGAGATGTGTCGATGGCTGTGAAGCTGGAACCCGGGGAGATCCGCCACAGGAACAACATTGCTTCAAAAACAATGAAAGACGCAGTGAGCTCTAACCAGCAAAGTCTGAAATCAGCTTCTCTTTCCCTGAGTGTTCCCTTAGCTGCGGCTGTCCAAGTGAGACCGCCAGCGATTTCGGCATGTAAGGATAATGTTGTCGCAAATCAATCTTTTCCAATACTCAGGACTCTAAATGAGCCCTCACCCGTCAAAGCCCCTTTGCTTTGTAATCATTTAAATTCAAAGATTTCAGCTTGGACCCCAGTCAGAACCATTGAGAGAGCAGGAGAAGTAGACATGCCAGAACCTGAGGGTTTTCCAGTAATTTCATCTGTGTTCTCTTTAAGTCAGCAACCAGAGGAGGCCCAAGGCTCCATTCAGCCACTTGTAATGGCTCTGCGTGGCATAGTGATGGATAAAAGTAACCGTTCTGGCACTACACCTCAAGATCACAACAAGATGACAAACAACACAGAACAGGTGAGGGAGGCACCGAAATCAGGGTACTGCGCTCCGATGCCTGCAAAAGATGGATCCTTCGTCTGTGATCCTTTACCGAGAGAGAAGACCACTGACTCTGTAAAAGTAGAGGAGTATGATAAAGGGATCCAGCATCCTCCTGCACTGATTAACAACCACTTCCATGTCAAGAAGGAAACAAATAGCACTACGCCAAAAGATGATAATAAACGCAGTCACACACCTGATTCTAAATCTTCAACAGATCAGGAATCTGCTTCTAAAATAGATCCTCTACAGCAAATGGCAAAGAATGAGCATGACATCTCCTCAAAGTTCCTCACTGTCTCTCTGAAAAGGGTACAAGTAGGCATGTGGAAAAAAAGTAAGAAAGGACTGAAACTTAGAATATCCAAATGTAAGACACATTTACCTATGGGCAGTGTAACTGATTGTGCAGTTATTTACCCGATGCCGCTGAAGGTGGACCAGCTGGTGAAACGACCAGGCCCCAACCAGCCTGTAGTGGTACTCAATCACCCAAAGCCCCGGTCCCCTGTACAGGGAGCGAGAGCAGACACTTTCGCTGACACAGGAGCCTCTGAGGTGGTTCCAAAGTGCCAAATCTTAAAAATGAGGCTGAGCAAAGTGATGGGACAGAAATATGAAGTGATGGGGTGCACTGTCAGAGTCTTTCCATGAATTTATTGGACAACGCATCAATTGAAAGAAGTGTACATTTATGTGGAAATAACTAGTATTACAATGGGAATATGCTGACTTTAAAAAAAACTGACACAATATTGAGGCAGTTATTTTCTTTTGTGAGCATTAGATTTATCACTGAACATTATGTTATATGTTTGTCTATATAGGCATGGGATACGGATTATTCAAGTGCAATGCAGTTTTGACTGCTTTTTCATTGAATATGGACCATCTGCTGTAGTAGATTGCCGTCAGTAATACACAGATGTTAAAAACTGTTAAAGAAGTTTGAGAAACCAGTAGATCTGCCAGAGTTAAGGCATTAACGCATGCTGTTTATTTAAAATGATGTCTTTTTTATTTCTCTTTTGTTTGCATCAGTAAGGTTTCACGGTTTATTTGGTCCCATTTAAAATGCAAGCTCAAGTAGATGCAATATGTGCAGCACACCTGAGTTTATCAAAGAGGCATTCAGAATAAAAACAGTGCCATTTATAATATAAATAAAGCCATTGATTTTGCCAATATTAATGATGGAAAAATCAGTGGTTTCTTTGTTTGTTGTGTTGGTAGGTAGTTGTGTAGACACTTATGTGGCAATTCAAGAGTTGCATCCAAAAAGTATACATTTCAATGCTGATAACTGGTCAACGACTGGGACACATTTCAAAGGCTTCTCCAAGTTTGACCTGAGAAATGTGGCTTTCTTAGAGATCACAGTGTTTTACTGGGTTGGTCACTTGTTTGGTGGTGTGTTCAGGCACTCTTTGCAAACTCATATTTGGGAAGTATTACATGACTGTTGTGTTTTTCAGATGGTCATCAGTCACTGGTAAGTTCATCAAATGAATTGGGCCAATGAAAAAGCCACTGCTAGTTGTAAATACTTCACACTTGTGTGTGGAATTTGCACGTTCTCTCCATCTCTGCATGGGTTTCCTCTAGGCATTCTTGGCTAAGTCCAAAACATGCAGGTTTGGTTAATTGTTTGTCTCTATAAGTCAGCCCTGTGATAGACTGGCCACTTGTCCAGGGTATACTCCATCTTTTTCTCCAGTGTCAGCTGGGATTGGCTTCAGTCGTAATGAATAGGTGGATGCAGGTGTACATAGGGAAAGCTAGGCATAAACACCAGCACTTGTTACAATATTGAATATAAGAAATGGAGGTTTGCAAGTTGTCCGTTGTATGTTGTGAGAAGTGAAATGTCACAGTTGTACTGTAAACTTGGATATTATGGAATGGGCTTCACTTTCCCAACAGTACTTTGCTGGCCATTGATAAACTTGAATGTTTTTTGCGTTACCATCAGACCAGGAGTGCCTGAATGCACTGTTATTTTTGGTTTCTGTGAGGCTAGAGCCTAATAAACCTTAATACTGATGAATTAG